AGAAAGTTAAGGGTACATCTCATGTGAAGCTATTATGGACTTTATACTAATTCCTTGACTTCAATATTTACTTTTCTTGTGTCGTGAAAGTTTTTAAATGAAGATATTTGATTGGATTTTACTATAGCGAATACAGCCAATCAGAGACTTCGATAGAAAGTCTATGAACACAAAGTCATTACTATTACAGCCTTTCTGTCGAGGCATCAAATCGCTGCATTCCGTGATACACGAATGGTGGGTTTGTCAGTCAAGGTATAAATAAAGTTCGTAATAGCTTGACAATGTAAAGTTCGTAACACCTTGACATTGTGAAGTTCGTAATAGCTTGACATTGTGAAGTTCGCAATAGCTTAACATTGTCAAGTTCGTAATAGCTTGACATTGTGAAGTTCGCAATAGCTTAACATTGTCAAGTTCGTAATAGTTTGACAATGTAAAGATGACAATCATATGCCTTTAACTGTTTTTGACAAGCGTTTCATCAAGAAACTCACCAGAAAAAGTTTGGCTTAATTGCCTCCTTTATTGTATGAAATATGACCAAAATATTTCTCTCTTCTTCCGAATATTCAACGCATTTTTCAATTGCATATTCGCCCCTATTGGTTTATCTTCCATATATTTTTGATGGAATAAAATGTGTTTTAAGGGGTTTTATGATGTTGGATAGGACTATCATCCTTTGCAGAACATATTTAAAGATGGCAACTTTTCGAATATTTTATTATTAGTAGAAAAGAGAAAAGAAAGATAGTTGAGAAAACTCGTCTACCCTTTTTGATCTTAAAATTTTTCTCCTGCTGTCATCATATCAATAGCATAGTATTGTGTTTGCCCTCGAGTTTAATTTCACATTCATTGACATTATAATATGTATCTGATGTATCACTACCATCAGAATATTAAGTCAGCAGGCGTATACAACACTTCCGAAGGTCGTTTAAGTCTAGATAAAGTAAAAAATTTTAGGGCAATAATAAGAGATTTGGGAGAAGACAGATAATGTCATCTTTCCGGTGAGAGGTTTTCAAACTGGCATTTCTCGTCTGTCTATTATCCATTAGTATTAAACACCAGACTTTAATTCCACCATTGTTACCATTTCATCTTTCATTCTTCTCTTTTAAACCTCAAATAATCCGTCTACTACCACTTCCGTTTAATTTATTTTTATTGTCCATTGATATAGGTCACGGTGATTTCACTTGACCTAGCCTGACGTGTTTATGCTGTTGGCAGCCAATAGAACAAAGTAAAGAAACCAATGGTTGATATTTGCTGTTTTATTTGTCACGACCGATTATATCATCTTCCATTGTGACAAAGTCTGACACATATTAGTTATAATGGTTTAATGGTGTTTCTTTTGTCTCGAATGTTTCATATATCAACAACAGACACGATGGGCCTTGAAATGTTTGTTTCTCCTCAATTTTAGTGGAAATTTTTTACTTCCTGTTTCATTCAGTACCATTAAGAGATATAGTTTTATCAGTTAAAGAGCTATGTGTAAGCTATTGATAGACTTATAAAGATTGGACAGCATGAGACTAAAGACACACTTTCTTAGTTTCGTTATGCTTTAATATCTCCTGTTTTTCTTTTTAGATGGCATTTGATTGCAAACTGTTGCTAATATAGTGATGTAGTCTTAAGATAAAACGACCTTTTGACCTCTACTAAATTAATTATCAAGGAAAGCAATGAAAGGGAAGGCAAATCAATTGTTAATGACGAATAAGACTTACTACTTTGGCACCAGACTGATGCTAATAATGGTACCCGTTATTTCAGACAGAAGACTATTATGTGATAATGAGTATAACCTGTTTACTGTACTTAATACAATAATTGAACGTATTATACGTAGCATAGCCAACCTACCTTCATAACAAATTAATTTGGTTGCCATAAGATAAGATGTTCGCTGGTAAACGAGCACGTTTCACCGATTAAACTATTAACCATGGTGAGTCCCTCTAGGACAACATTAAAAGTGAGTTTGCTCATTAAACTTCTCACATTGTTTGTTCCAAACTAATTGAGAGAACGTCGTGAACAATAACAAAATGTACAGATTTATCCTATTTGTCTATGGTGCATATTGATTCTCGAAAAAAACTTTTGACATTAGAAGGTGGAATATGACCTAAAGTATCACTTTCTGACTTGCTGAATAATTAATATAGAGTATTCCAATATTACACATCACCAACGATAGAAAAAAAAATAGTGTTGACATGCAAGTGAGATGAGCAGCTCAGAAATTAAGAGTTCGAGGACATGTTGACTGGTATCAGTATATGGTAGATATTATATCTATGATAGCTGACAAGCACTAAAGGAATGGTTTTTATCAGGAACTATACAGACTCTGCAACCTTCAGTGACTATGATATCTAATATTTAATGTTGAAAACAGTATGTTTATATATCTTACCATCTCCCTATATAGCAAATGTAAATGTCAAAACATTGGTAGAGGATCGTCTCTTTGTAAGTTTATCTAGAATTTAATAAATTTATTTCATATCAACTTCAGTTCAGACTTCATGTTGTATATATATTTAGTTGGCTTAATAGTAAGTCGTATATTTCAGTGTCTGATCTCCAAATTTTGTCTGCAGTGTGCAGCGTTTAGGCTTACTCTTTTCGTTGACTCGTGGCCTTGTCAATATTATCTATGGTGGCTATTTAGCACATTTAATGTCTATCTGGTTGATTTTGTCCTGGAAATGTAGCGAACACGTTCTTACGCATCTTCCGTTTATTGTCCCATCTGATAGACTTGACCGTTTCCCCCATCATCCAAATTCTGACCTCGCCTAGTAAGTATGTTTGGGGCGTAAAGTACTGTACGCACTGGCAACATTTTCAGCAACATGTTGCCCAGATGCCATGTTGTCGAAAATGTTGTTATAGATGCCATGTTGTCGAAAATGTTGTTATAGATGCTATGTTGTCGAAAATGTTGTTATAGATGCTATGTTGTATAAAATGTTGTTATAGATGCTATGTTGTAGAAAATGTTATAGATGCTATGTTGTAGAAAATGTTGTTATTGATACTATGTTGTAGAAAATGTTATAGATGCTATGCTGTAGAAAATGTTATAGATGCTATGTTGTAGAAAATGTTGTTATAGATGCTATGTTGTAGAAGATGTTGTTATAGATGCTATGTTGTAGAAAATGTTATAGATGCTATGTTGTGGAAAATGTTGTTATAGATGCTATGCTGTAGAAAATGTTATAGATGCTATGCTGTGGAAAATGTTGTTATAGATGCTATGCTGTAGAAAATGTTATAGATGCTATGCTGTAGAAAATGTTATAGATGCTATGTTGTAGAAAATGTTATTATAGATGCTATGTTGTAGAAAATGTTGTTATAGATGCTATGTTGTAGAAAATGTTGTTATAGATGCTATGCTGTAGAAAATGTTATAGATGCTATGCTGTAGAAAATGTTATAGATGCTATGTTGTAGAAAATGTTGTTATAGATGCTATGTTGTAGAAAATGTTACAGATGCTATGTTGTAGAAAATGTTGTTATAGATGCTATGCCGTAGAAAATGTTATAGATGCTATGCTGTAGAAAATGTTATAGATGCTATGTTGTAGAAAATGTTGTTAACAGTTATGGGAAAATGTTGGCGAGTAATCTCCTCACTCACATTGAGTCTGAAAGATTGGTGCTAATGGATCATCATGCAATATCTAGAAATAGATTTCTCAATAATTATTAAGTCGGACATTTGGAGGCCAAGTTAAAAAAAAGAATATTAAACTTAAGTACTTGCTACCTGTCATATAAAGAATATTAAGATTGACGTTAAATCGATATTGTAATATTTTTGTCTAATTTATTCCCTCTTTTAACCTCAATTTCTCAAATCTTCTTCAATGATATAGGGATAGCTCAGTTGGTGGCATATTGGATTGCCGTTCATTTACTGATGTAGGTTAGATTCTGCCCAACGCACAATATACCTCTGATGCTTTTGAGAATGGACTAGATGTCTGCTCTCAAATACAAAACTTACTGTAATGAATGAGATGCCTAATGGCACCATTATGGACCATTTCCATTAAATACCGATCGGTTTATCTTGACATTTCAATGATGTTTTCAGTTAGGCTTTTAGAACAAGTCAAAAGGTGTGTCACTGTGCCATGGCAATGATCGTATATATCAAGCTTATAATTGAATCCGATTTTGAAAGTTATTTTATTTTCCTCGGTAGTAAATTTAACCAGGCAATAATAATAAAACATGCTTTAGGATTCTTGAAGAATAGTCATTAATAAGGAGGAATCTTCAAAGGAATGCCGAATTGTCAAACACAGTCTTATAGCAGCATCAGGTGCCCACGAGAATTGATACAATTAAGTCTAGTTGTCGGCACACACCATTTTAATGGATTTTAAAAATGGAATCAAGCTTTAAAGCGAATTCCTCACAGGACTCGTTTATTATCTATGGACTATTGCCTTTAATTGTGTTTCCAATTGGGTACAAGGTACGTAATCAGAATTAAACTAAAATCTCTCACTTTCTCTGAAGAAATCTTGGGAGATTAGCAAGATGATGTTTTGACTGTATTCATAGTTAGATTATAATTATATCGTATTATTGACCTCGATACCATCTAACAGTTTCCGAGACGAACCATGTAAAAACCATCCATCACACACCGTTCTTTTTCAAAGATAATAGCCTTTTTTCTTGAAGCAAGACTAAATATAGAAAGTCATTAAGAACTATATTTAAGGAATACATGTATATATGACGAATGTTAATAGATGTGCCTTATTTACTCGAGCTTATTTTAGATTCTGAATTCAAACAACTGACAGGCGGAAATCCATTTCAGTGACAGTTTGAATCATTAAGTTAGTCAACAGTTGGCTTTGATAACAAATACAAAGAAATTGTGTGGTCGTGTCTGTCGACACTTCATTCTGGTGGTGTACAGACTCTTGAATCGGTTTTTTAACAAATACTTAACTCTGGTGGTGTACAGACACGTAACTCTGGTGATGTACAGACTCTCGACTCTGGTGCTGTACAAGTTCTTGACTCTGGTGATGTACAAGTTCTTGACTCTGGTGATGTACAGACTCTCAACTCTGGTGGTGTGCAGACACTTGACTCTGGTGCTGTACAAACTCTCAACTCTGGTGATGTATAGACTCCCAACTCTGTTTGTGTGCAGATGCAGAGAAATTGTGTGGTCGTGTCTGTCGACACTTCATTCTGGTGGTGTACAGACTCTTGAATCGGTTATTTAATAAATACTTGACTCTGGTGGTGTACAGACACGTAACTCTGGTGCTGTACAAGCTCTTGACTCTGGTGGTGTGCAGATTCTTGACGCTGGTGTTGTGCAGACTATCGACTCTGGTGGTGTGCAGATTCTTGACCCTGGTGCTGTGCAGACTATCGACTCTGGTGCTGTGCAGATTCTTGGCTCTGGTGCTGTGCAGACTATCGACTCTGGTGCTGTACAGATTCTTGGCTCTGGTGCTGTGCAGACTATCGACTGTGGTGCTGTACCGATTATTGATTCTGGTGCTGTACAGGCTGCATACATTTGGCTCTAATTGTGTCTTATTTCCAATGAATGTTATTGTAAGGACTTATTTTCCAACCCTTGTCCACGTTAACTGCACACTCATTGCAAGCTCAGATTATCCTTAGAAAGATTCTTGGTTTGTTGATTATATTTCCTTCGTACTTATTTTAATTTGAATCCAATATATATACCTTATCGACATTGACAGTAAATAAACGCCAGTATAATGGCTATTTCAATAACTATATAAATAATTAATAAAGAACTGGTCAGATATCTTCTCTAATTTACTCTTCTCACTCAATCTCGAGATTAAACTACCATCATTTCATCTTTACTGCTCAAAGGTTAATCAAACTCTAGTAATACGAGTATATAATAATACTTTTATAAAGAGACATTATCAACAAAGAAGATATAATATAGTAATAATGTGGAAGCTGATTCAAATCCTGTTCAGTCATCAGGTCATCCAGATGAAGTATCATAACATGCGTTTATACAATTGTAATTGGTGCCTTCATTGTAAAACTGATCTGTGAAAGTGTGGTCACGATTTCCAAGTAATGAAATGAATCTAAAGAAGTTTTCATAAAAAAAAATAATCCCTATCAGAAAGGTCCTTGTATATTAATAGCAGTTTTTGCTGTAGCGTCCACTTTTAGTCAAATTGCACTAACCACAGATGTCTGACTGAAAATTGGAATGGCGCATCGATGCTATCAGTGTCTCCAACACACATAAAAAGTTTAGAAAACATCTTTACAATCCGTTAAAAAGGGAGTCGACTACGAAAGACTCAACCAATATCAGTCTTTCACTGATTAGTGAGTGGAGTCTGTTCCATTTCACAGTTTTATAACAATTAATAACAAATCTGTTTGATCGATGTAATGAAACATTCATAAATGTACTAAATAACGCCAAATTCATCTTTTTTTCAGAGTGCAAGAATCAGACGGAAGTTTCTTTGAAAGTTTTACAGCTCTAGCATGGCGCCAAGAAAATCGCAGACGACGAGCTGCTAGTGAGGTAAGACATCGATCATTACAGTCTAGGGAAATAGTTGAAAGCAAAAATGGTTACGTGTTATAATTACTTTATTGACGTTCTGAGCTTTTCATTAAAATTAAACTGAGACTAAAACTGGATGATTACTGCTCTTCAGACTTCCTTCTCTCTTTAAAACTATCAGGAGACATGGCTCTGTAATTGCCTGGTAAAATTAAGCATTAGATATTTCTTTTGAAGGCCACGAGTGATACGAAACTACGTATGGTTCTTGCAAGACAAACGTAGTTCACAACCATTTTGAATCTCTACCTCGACGTAATAAGTCGAATTTTGATCATATTTATAATATTTCAACAAAGCCTTCAAATCACATTTAAATCTTTAGAAATGACTTCAAATGTGATTCTACAAAAAATTGGACTAATTATGTCGAGGAAGATTTTCAAAATGGTTGTAAACTACGTTCGGATGTGTTACTTATATGTGTTTCATATTTTAACATTTTTCATTCCTCGCCTTTTTTCATATGCAGAATGGACAATAGCGTCTGCGCTCACTAATATTTCTTACTAAAATATTTATAGTCGTAGCTGTTCATGTACAGATTGTATCCAATGTATAAGCAATGTCGGACCCATTTTTACTTTGTATTAGAATATTGTCTTCAGATCTTACGTTGGTAGCAGTGATTTTTTTGTCGACAGCTGTTGAACAATATAACTCAGCTGTTGGGTACAATAAGATTTGCCAATGACACCAGATGTGACAAAGAAAGGGAAATAAACTGAAGTTATATGCTGTATAAATGACCTGGTATACAATACACACGATTGTGATGTCTATTGATTACTAATTCAATTAATCAATCTATTATTTTCGTATTCATACCAGAGTCGTGTGTGTTTACATTGGATCACCGATATCATACTTGTATTGAAGGTTGTAGAATTACCATACATGTTATGAATACATAATAATACTATACAACAAATAGACATGTATGATGTGAAAAAAACTCTTATTCTGGCAATGCGATAAAATTGCCCAAAACGTTTCTAAATATGAATAATTAAGAATACCCAAAACCCTTATTGGCGAAAAACTCCCTTCAGGTCTGAATCTTATAAGTACATTTTGTCTGTAAATTTTGGAGTAACGATTTGGTCTTAGGTCTTTAGGTTATCTATCTGCTTATTTAATTTAATGTCTGTCTTCGATTTTCGTCTCCTTAATTTCAACATTGAATCGAATTGTCTTCATGCTATCTATCTCTGATTATGGGATACAACTATAAGAGTTTTATCAGCAGTGCAATATGTCTAGCATCGGTAGTCAGATCTAGCATTGATAGTCAGATCTAGCATTGGTAGTCAGATCTAGCATTGGTAGTCAGATCTAGCATTGGTAGTCAGATCTAGCATTGGTAGTCAGACCTAGCATTGGTAATCAGATCTAGCATTGATAGTCAGATCTAAAATTGATAGTCAGATCTAGTATTGATAGTCAGATCTAGCATTGATAGTCAGATCTAGTATTGATAGTCAGATATAGCATTGGTAGTCTGATCTAGCATTGGTAGTCAGATCTTGTATTGATAGTCAGATCTAGTATTGATAGACAGATCTAGCATTGAAAGTCAGATCTAGCATTGGAAGTCAGATCTAGTATTGATAGTCAGATGTAGTATTGATGGTCAGATCTAACATTGATAGTCAGATCTAGTATTGATAGTCAGATGTAGTATTGATAGTCAGATCTAGCATTGATGGTCAGATCTAGTATTGATAGCCAGATCTAGCATTGGAAGTCAGATCTAACATTGATAGTCAGATCTTGTATTGGTAGTCAGATCTAGTATTGATAGTTAGATCTTGTACTGGTAGTCCTAGCATTGAAAGTCAGATCTAGTATTGATAGTCAGATCTAACTTTGATAGTCAGATCTAGTATTGATAGTCAGATGTAGTATTGATAGTCAGATCTAGCATTGATAGTCAGATCTAGTTTGATAGTCAGATCTAGCATTGGAAGTCAGATCTAACATTGATAGTCAGATCTTGTATTGGTAGTCAGATCTAGTATTGATAGTTAGATCTTGTACTGGTAGTCAGATCTAGCATTGATAGTCAGATCTAACATTGGTAGTCAGATTGATAGTCAGATCCTGTATTGATAGTCAGATCTAGCGTCGATAGTCGGTGAGATATAACATTAATTGTTAGTTTCACCATCTAATGCTAATGTTACATAGCCACACTCAATTTTGATTCTACAGTCGCCATATCAATACGTCTGCTTCGAACACTTGATCTGTCTTTGATTTGTCTTTGACTTGGCATCTGTAATCTGTAATTTCTCGTCTATCATGTATTCGTATTTATTCCTGGGGAATTTTAATTTGGTCATGCCAATCACAGATATCTCCCGTCAATATAATGATGCTATCAATGTAACAAGATGAAACGTGAACTCAGATTGATTCATTATTAACCCTGCTTGATTGGATATTGACAACAAGTATGTATTCAATCAGCTCTACATAGTTTTCATTTAGATCTGAGTGTTTGAACGGTCGGGCATTAGAGTCGGATCATCTCTTTAATAATCTGTTATTCGAGGCTCATACAAACAAGAGAGAACTAGATAAGAATCAACTGCTTTGCACAGATGCTAGTACTTAGTAGTGTAAACTGACCTGGACTTTGGGTAGCCGAAGGCGTAGAGGATATGATGGATTTCATAGGGTTGAGTGAAGTGACAAAATCCATATTGTATCTATATCTATATCTACGTTCCCGGTATCACAGAAAATAATAGCTAGTTGTTATTTTGACAAGCTGAAGAGCGAAACTCCTCTTTACTTAATTGTACTGATAGTGAAGTAAAAAGACCTGCGTAAAAAGACCTGTCTGAAATATGAACCATGACTAATATAATAAAAGAAAGAAAACAGGTATGAATTATTGATAATGATAATTCTGTAAAAAGTTGAACTATTGATCTTGTAATAGTTCGTATTACACCATGATATTATTATATAGAATTACTGTCACTATAGTTCATATCACGTTCAACAACATATAGGAACGAACACACATTTTAAAGGAACAGTCCCACTTTTTCAGAACATAGAAACATCCCGTTTTGGCATAGTTCTCCTTACTGGAGTGGCCACGATATGATCGTTTTAATGTTATATGCTATCGATGAAAAGCATATCTCTTGAACCTGTCTCATTAATATTAGACCCAACTTTCGTTCCGTTTTTTTATTAGCTTTTACTGTTGACACAGCCCTCTTGAACGTTCGTCAAATTTACCTCGACGATCTCTGCTTAAACTATCAAATTTCTACAGGCATTTCGCTGGCATTTTGTGACGCGGTGTTTATCAGGTTAATTTGACGAACTTTCAAGAAAGCTATCATTAGAACCTTACTGAAGCGGCTAAAAAAAGGGAACAAAAGTTTGATCTGATTTTAATAAGGCTGCACTAGAACACATTTAATTAATTTGCAATAAATACCAAAACTAAGCCATTTAAACAATATGGATGGTTTAGAGTGAAAATTTCCTCTGGGATTTCATCCTATCAAAAAGACTTATTATAGCCTATATAGTTCATCTATTTGACCTTAAGTAAATACTTTACATTGTGTTTCTGAATTTAGTTAGAATGGAATGGCGGTCCCTACATGACCACTGTTAACTCGAGTCGTGATTAGACACACTTCTAGACTCATTCATTCCAGACAGGTGCTTCATTCATTTTTCATGGAAAATAAGTGAACTTAAAGTTTTTCTATAATTACTCACCTGCGAGACATTCTCAAGGTTTGATTTTAATCACTGTCTAACACTCTTTCTTTTCTAAAGGTGAAACGTCATGCAAGACAATATCATATTGGTGAAAACCTGAAAGTGTTACATCATTTGGTAAAAACGAGTTCATCTGTTGTATGGAACAGAGATATTCTCATCACAATAGTGAATAACGACAATGGGTG